AAAAAATTGGTAAGCTGAGGAGGGGTCATGCGATTTTTAAATGGTGCTTCCCAAATCCCACCAGCCCCCCCTCCCTCATAAAAAATGAACGGTCCCTAAACCGCTATATTCAACCACTAATCAAGTCCCAATTTTCCTTCTCCTGGCTAGGTTCTGAGAATTAAGATCCTGATAGAAGTAAGGAAATTTGACTAAAGCTATGTTTTGTTACCTTTAGGTTCTTTGCAAGAGTTCGTTCGGTGAAGCAAGCATTTACGAAGCCCTGAAGGAGCATGCGGATGGAAAGAAGCTGTTAGAAATGTGAGAAGTTTGACAAATCAGTTTATTAATTGAATTGATTGATTAATAATTAGTAGTCCTTAAATAACCTTCGTTATATTTGTTCTTTTAGTCTTAGTATAGTACAAGCAAGGGCTTTGATTTGCCTGAACAACATAGTATCAGCCTTGGATACAGACCTTTTGGGAGGAGAAGAAGCTCTAGGGCAACTCTGGAGTTCGCTTTTCTCTCTCACGTTTGCCACAGAAAGTAAGTGCTAAATAAAACGATATTAGAACGAAAACTACCGTGGAGCAAATTAATGTACTGCGGAGAGTGCAATGGACCACTCCGAACGGTGTAAAATGCGCGGGAAAAGTCAAGTGAGCGAACGCGGTCTTGCATCTGGTTGGCTGGGAGGACAGTAGCATCTCTTTGATTGGTTCAAGATGTTGCATGCGTTTCGTGGACCAATCATGGAATCATACATTAGGTCTTTTCTGCCGGTCATCCCCCATCACCAAAAACACTTCATCGCCATGCATTCATAAGGCCTTCACCATAACACGTATAATAGAACAACAGGAACCTCTAGGTAGGGTACTTTTGTCCTCTAGACAACTTATGGGTTTCTTGTTCTTCTTCGACCTTAGGCAAAGGTTTTGTTTGTGACGAGGAAGACTTTCTCGAAGCTGCGACTGGAGTTCTTAGATCAATCATGGACAAATTAGTCTCTTTACAAGAGCCGCAAGTAAGTACTTCATTCACGAAGGAATCTTTCTTTAAACAAATTCTTCCGCGCCAAAAGTGTTTAGGGCTAGCGACGGTCAGCGAAAAAAAGAAAAGATTGAAGTTTCAGCTCAACGGAAAACTCAAGCGCCCTAAAACTGACCTGGTAGCGAAAAAGAAAATACCTGCATAAATTTTGCCGTTTAGCCGAAAAGTACGCGAAAACCGGCCGTCTAACGAAAAACTTCGGCAATCGCCGAAAAAATGAGTGCAACTAAGAAGTGTGGGGCTTAGACAGGACTAACAGCGGTCAACTTATGTTCCTGTGCTTCTCGTAGTGTATAACAGCTGAGCACGTGACCATGTTGTGCCGATTCACTGCAGTGACGTCATGTGAAGCTGTCAAAGTCAAGCTGATCAGCATTCTGGGATTCATCGGCAAGATGGCCGCCAAAAAAGACAACACGCTGGAAGTTCTAAAGGTTTGTTACTTTTTTTCAGCTTCAGCTTTAGTGCAAAAACCTTGCCATATATGGTAGTGAAAAAACTGCCCGTTCGGTAATTTTGTTTACAGAAATTGCAAATTCAACCTGGTATACATTACTGTTCTTGTCTGTCTTTAAAATGAACCATGGCTTCCCGGCAAAACAGAATATGTTGTAAGCTAGTATAAATATAACATCAAAACCTCTTTGAGTTTCTCGCGGAAGTTTTCCAAATGTACTTTGAAATTCATGTTAAAATTTGGGGAGAGTACGAGCCAGTCGGTTAAGGTAAAAAACCCAGAGTTTAATCGTTATTAAAAGGTAGTTGCTAATCAAGCTATCATAAAATTTTACTCACAAACATTCTTCGAATTGCGCGGTTTTAACACGTTTTTCCCACCGCTTCTCATGTTCTATTGAGTGCATTCCTCTAGGTGAATTTCACTTGTTTCACTCCCTTCCTCACTTCACCTTAGAGACCTGTCAATCTTCCTTAGGAAGTTTCATTTCTGAAAATTTTTCATGTGGATTTTTATTGGAAGATTGTTTGTAAATGTATTTGTACCGTTTTACCTAGTAGACTTCCAAATAGGAATCGTTCAAGGTGACACAGCTAACACGTTGATACTTTTGTCCTTTCAGTCATTGGGTACCGTTTTGCGTGACATTATCGTCGATCAGAACAGTTTATGGGTGATTAGCGAGGCCCTGGACGCCATATTCGATACATTTGCCGACGGTCCGCTGGTCAACACTGCCGCAGACTCGATTGGCCTCCTGATGAACCTGCAACAGTTGGTACCAGTCCTCAAATCCAGGGTAAGGAGCATTGTGATTGGTAGATTCGAGCCCGACACTAACGTCAGAGAAGGCCAGGCTTGTGATTGGTGTGTTGTCTTCTATCGACTAAAAATTGGCGAGGATACATATTTTTAAGCAGGACTTGAGCAGTTTACGAGAACGCGAGAGGGAGAGGCATTCAATGATACGTTTCAAGTTGTCGAAATTCTCCTGTGACTAGATGTTGCTGACTTAGAACATGCCCAGCAAACGCTTCCCATCTTTGGTTTGAGAACTTGCGAAGTAGACAGATATTTGGGTCCCTTTGTTTAGGTCACTCCCCCAGGCTTGATTCGGTTAATAGAATCCTTATGAAATGCTTGTTCGTGATAATTTTCTCGTTTCTTACGCAGATAAAAAGCGAGCGGAGGACACTAGGAGACCATTTCCCTGTGGTGGACGCTGCGAGGGTAAACCTGACCAGGTTCATCAAATACAAAATGAAGGGCCACCAGCTATGTCGCACGAACAGTCCGCTTGTTTTCTCCGCGAATCCGGCTCAAGGCAGGTGATATTCAGCTGCCTTATTCCATTACAATCGTGCGGTACTGTGTAGTGATCCTGCCGACGGCTGCTCTCAAACCGGTTAAGCCTGTATCGATCACTTGTTTAACCTGTATGAAAAGTGAGACAAGTGCAGGAGTCTGAACTCATGTTGGAAGTAAGACAAGAGGTTGTCTTACCTGTACAAAAACCGGCTTAAAAGACCAGAGCCTTATTCGGTTAACATCACTCAGCAATATATCGTTTTAATCAAGTTTTGACTTTTAATCTTTAAACACACTGGGAGTGAAAAAGAGAAGATACAGAAAAAAAAAATAAGAGAAAGAAGTTCCGTAAGAAGGGTTACTGCAACCCCGTTATAGAAATAATTTTCCACTAAATTAATAAGTGATTTTCTTATGCCAGAATACCTAAGTCGCGGCGATCCGTGACTTAGATTCGTGTACATCAGACTGACAGGATCAAGGTAATTAACGATAATTCATACAGACAAACCCACCAGTATGAGACGCTGTCTCTGATGTTTTCTGTCTGTGACAGAGTGGTGGTGGTGGGGTTCAACTGTTGCTGATATGAAACGTATCTTTCTTGTGTCGCATGGAAAGATAAGAGTGCATAGGAACCCAACATAAAGCCTCTCGCTTACTTTTATTTCTGGAATGTACGAATCATTTTTACTCTTAACGGTCGATTTTGAAAATGGGATATACACCTCAATATGCCATGAAGTAAGTTAAGGTGGTTTCCTTACTAGAGCGAGTTTCAATATTGAGTGTAGTTTAACCAAAACCAAAGTAATCACTTTGGCCAATGTCAAAGGGCACAGGGAATCCAGGAAACAAATCAAAACTGACTCGAAGCAAATATATTTAGCTGGCACAAAGCACGGGAAAACGCTCTGCAAGTGACTGAAGTGAGTCACGGTTGGTTTTGGTTTTACCTCTGATTGGATGGCAAAGTGGCGCAAATAAAATGCGAATTAGTTTGGACACCTAACCAAAAAAGCGCAGATTTACTGTGTGTTTGATTTAATTCAAGGGGAAAAATGTTTTTCCTGCAATAGGTAGGAAACCAATCAAATGCAAACTGATAAACCAAACGTGACGTGACTCAGGTCACTTCACGCGCTTTCCACTGATCCGTGTTTTTGCTTTGATGTCTGATTGGCTTACTGGTTTATCCATTCCGCGCTTTCCGTGCGAGTTGTAAGCCGTAAGTCAACTGCTGTACATATTATCTTTATTTAATGACTGTAATAAATTGTCGATACATTCCTTTTTTCGTCATCATACCTTCTTTCATATTATGTCGTTGTTACAGATCTTGTCAAGTTGTCCTGAGTTTTCAGTAATGTCTCCTTCCTTTGCTACCTGGCAAGTAAATTACTGATAAAGTTATCGATGGTTTGCCTTTCTGAACTTTGTTTCACCAGCTCTCATATTGTGCTTCGTAAACACTAAATCACGGAAACTATCTGATTTCTGTGGAACCTGTTAGGTTCTCTCAGAGGTGACCTCAGGGCCTTTGTTCACTTTCTCTCTCATTGCTGACCTCTCTGGGTCTCTGTTACGGTCTCAATCATTTTTTCTCTCCGGTGCCCCTTAAGGTCTCGCTCAAGAACTGTTAGGAACTTTATCACGGTCTCTCACTGGTGAACTCTGCGCTTGTTACATTCCCTCGGAGATCACTCATTTTTATGTACCTCTGCTGACAATGTAAACCCGATTGCATAAGAAAAAGAGATCGTTGCCCAAAGGAGAAGAATGTTACTTTTTAGGAACACTTGCGTGTCCTGCGCAATGTGATGTGAAATGCAGATAAACGATACAAAAGTAATGTTCGCCATATGTAATGAGCCACGTACGAATTTTTTCTTTTGCTCTAAGAATAATTTCGTTCTAAGGTTAAGACTTGCAAACGTAATGAAGGTATAGTATCCTATCGAATAATGATAACACCATTCCCATCGAGAAATGTTTAAAGAAACATTCCAAAATCAACAGACTTTCGATTTTTTGCCTGTTCGTCAAACGTATATAATAATACAGCTTGTAGGGAAAAATCGGGAGAAGGAGAAACGCGGTGAACGAGGGAAAATAGGAGCACTGGGGCGAGAAAAGTAAGTCCAAGTCCCTCTCGTTGTTTCCTTACAAATAGTCAAAGGGGAGCAGTGATTACACAAGAAAAGGAAAATAATTTTTTTTTTAAATCCTTGTACTCGATCATAAAATCTCTGTGAAAGTTCTTCAACTGTTCAAACGTTGGAATTGTCTTGCGAAGGGAGGATGGTTA